TTATATACCGTATATACCAGTGTATAAGATGACAATGCCCTACCTATTTTTCCAACAGTCCACAAGCAGGTTCATATCCTCCATGGTGGTGACATCAGTTACTGAGTGGATTAAAAATAAAATAAACTGGCATGTATAATTGCAATGCTCATCTTCCTAATTGCGACAAATCGCATTTTCTGCAGCCATTCTTTCACAAAATGGGTCATAGCTGGTTCCAGTGTTTGCTATCAGTATTCTGGATGTTAAAGCCATGCTGATAATGTTCACAATTTTGAACTTCACCATAAAGCAACCCTGTATCTGGAATGACTTCTACGGCAGCTCCCCCAGCCTAGTGCATTCCAGATTTTGGAGCATAAGCCCCATTCTCCACAGCCATGCACTTAAGCCAATTTTCAGTGTTCCTCTAGCCTCTGACCAGCACATGTGCACGTACAAGGCAGCCCTCTGTGACATCATCTTGCAATCAGTCAAGATCAGTTCAAGGATACAGTGGGCGATGCATGCATTTATCGCTTCAGGCAATTCCTTACATTTGCTAAAGGGCAATTTGTGAACTTTTAAATGTCTTGGTCTTAATCTGTAATGCCATTTTTTAAAATACACTTTGCTTTCCAGTGCTCTCAGTTGACAGATTTAGCTGCTGGTCAAGTGAGTCAGACTGCAACACCCAAGTTACTGACCAGGGTGCCAAAGTAAGCAGGTAGCACATTTGCACTAAAGGATCTGGCTGCCTTCAAGAGCTAGTGTGAATGTGCAGGTCTTGGTATACAGTGTTCTATACAAGTCAGGACCAATCTCCCAGGCCATTATGATCTTCAGAGGAGATGCCATTGACCATGCGCCACCTCTGGATTTCCATTTTGCAGTGAGATGGAGATGGGTTTTCTCTGCAGCCATGTCTGTCCTCGGAAATGATATCTTCTTTGAAGTACGTCATCAACACTGCTAAATTTTATGCATTTTTGCAACCTGATATTTGCTTTCATTTTCCCCTAGCCATCTTGGTTTTATTCTTTTGTAAACCACTTTGAGATTTGTTTCAGAGAGGAAGTACAATGTAAGTATTGTTCATAAATAGCAAAATTAGTAAATACTAAGAGATGCAGACACAGACATGGACCAGGCTTCCGTGTCCAGTCATTTCTTTTGCCTTTTGAAAACTTTGGGTTGTATCCAGCAGTGTCAAGATCCGAGGCTGCTTCAGTGCTCCCTCTGCTGGCCAAGGGCCAGCAGAGCAGTTCTGGTAGTTGCAGAATTCTGTCTTCAGCCCACTGCAGCTGCCAGAGCAATCATGAGTTCCACCCGGGGAGCCTTGGGGACGAGCTATATAAGAACCAGCTCTTCCTTGCAGCAGCTGCCTTGGCAACAAGGTTTCCTCTTGTTGGTGAAATGCTTTCTGTTCTGCCAGACCTGGAACTCTGCTCCTGCTTGCCTTCCTGTGTCCTGCCTGCACCGCTCCCCTCTCTGATTGGTCTGCCTCTCTTGGCTCTCCAATCGTTAGCTTGTCCTGGACTATGGTACCTGTCTCTATGGTCTTGGTTTGCGTATTGGCTCCCGGCTTGACTTTGGACTGTGCTTGTTTTGCCCTGTCTGCCTGGGTCCGATGCCCTTGCCCTGGACGCTGACAGTGTCACAATGCTAGCACTAATAGTAGTATGACAATATAACCCAGTGTTTCAGCAACTTAACTAAGGGAGGGTGGGAATGGTGATTTGCTGTTGACATTCAGTGTCAAAAGGACTTTTTTTTCTTTCCTTTTTAAAAAGGTGCATGAAATTCCTCGTTCTGAAGGAAAATCTTTTTCTTGATTTTCTCCATTGCACTAATTCCATTGTACAAGTAGTGGTTTTACACTAAGCATAACGTTAGCAGCATTAGCATTGAGACATTACTTGAATACTACCGATAGATCCAAAGTTTCTTCCCCTGTGTAAAAGCTTTAATCATGATGTTGTGCAACAGAGACCAAAGAAACATGACCTTGAATGAAAGTGCAAGTTTTATTAGTTTACCCTCAAGCACTAATTTTGAAAAGGCCAATACTGAGTATGCAATCCTCTTCCACCACTTTCAAGAAATGCCTTTGCATGTGGAGGTTAATAAAAAGCATTATTTGGGGATGACATATTGCCCTGCTGTTTCCAAAGACTATCAGGTTGTTCAGAGATGCAAGAAGTCTCAGTTGGTTATGGGCTTTTTGTTTTTACAAGAGTGCAAACTCCAAATAGACACACACAGAACAGTTTTACAGTATGGTTGAGGGTCAAGCAGCATGAAAGGGCTGCTTTCATGTTGCATGCCACTCTCTAATCCATCTTTATCAAGCTTAAAAGTAGACATAGTGGGAGGAGGCAAATTGGGCACTGCCCAAAATCACTTGCCAATCTCCAGATAGTCACTGTGGGTGGGTGGAAGGCTTGGCTATGGGACTCTGGACTTTGGTGCTTAGATCTGGGCCTAGCAGCAATACATTGAAAAGAGAAAGAATGTGAAAATTTAGCTGTTGGAAGGAGAGGGAGGGAAGACGGCACTGTCCCCACCTTTTCACAGTTCTGCACGGGCATGGAGTTACTGGCTGAAAAAAGATGCAGGAGTTGCATAGGTACAAAGATGCCCAGCGTTCAAAACTGCATAACGAGGACTGCAATTAACCGCATTCTTCCTTTTATCATACATCAAAACTGAGAGCCTCAGCAAGCATGTGAATTGTAATAAATCATCTGCACGCAAAATCATGTTCTTTAAGTCAGCCATGTTGGTCCTCTTTCAGCCCAGGCAATTCCATTTCAGAGATTGTCTGGAAAGTGCATTCCCATGGGACAAAGGCAAAGTATGGTGGAGAACAGCATGGTGGAGATTTAGCTGAAAGCTTACTGCCTGCAAGCAGTCAGTGCGGCAGTGGTTCGGGTTTGGACTGGGACATGGCAGAACTAGGTTTTGGTCTCCACCCAACCATGAAGTTTGCTGGGTGAGTTTGGGCCAATCATTTGGTGGTTTCACAGCTTTTGTACGGTTTTTTTCCCCTTCATTCTAAAAGGTTGAAATCCCTCTAAGGCATTACAATTATTGCTATTGTTATCACATTTATGTTATGTCCCTACATTCCTGAGAGATAGGCTTGGCTTGCAGGAACCCATATAAGTCATGGGTTCCACCAAGAGGGAAGAAGTGGGATATAAACATAATGGTTGGCCACATTTACAGAGGATATGGGGATGTGGGTACTTTCATTAATTATAGCTTCATCCCACAGTATGGCTTGAAGGAACATGATGCAGTTTTATTGCTCAAGGTAAGATGTAGTTGTACCAGATACCTAGAAAACCCCTGAGAAATATAAATATGCCATTCTTAAAAGTGTGGCAGAAGTGAGCATGTTTGCTACTGTATACTGTTAATACAGAAAATGGCACTTTTCTCTTTTCTGCCCTAACAGCTTGCTTTTGTTTAAAGTGAGAACTGAGACAATCTAAACCACTGTCATGCAGGCAAGACAGGGAAGTCCATAAGCTGGACCAGAAAGCACAAGCTCTTCTTCTGTTCCTCTGGTATTCTATAATTTACTGCCTCCAAGTATGGTTTCCATATAGTTTTCCCAGCAAACCTGTTCTCCATGAAAGTGTCTAATGCAAATGTATATACTTGTATTTGCAATTCTCTGCCAAAGATAAATATTTTAAAGAAATACTCTTACTCCCTTCTTGAAGTGTGACAGGAGATAACTAGCACTCTAGCGCCATCTTCTGGATTGACAAATTAGCAGTAGCTTCATTATTCCAGAAGTCACAAAACACCCTTTTCCAACTTCGTAATCTACAGCAATTATGGATTCTTCACACGTTTTGCACCTCAACTCCCATCAGCCGCTGCCATCATCAATGATAGACAGGGATGCTGGAAGTTATAGTCCAAAACATCTGCAGCACTGGAGGCTAGGCAAGATTGATCTAAAAGGTTCCCATCAATGTTTGATTTTTATAGTTTTATCTCAGTATCTCCTATATATACGCTAGACATTTAATTGTGAATACACTTGGCCTTGAACAAAACAACCGTCTCCGTTGCCAATTACTTTACTAGACTGGCAGGGCCTTGCAGTTCTATTTTTCTGCAACACCTGGTAAATCTCTAGTCATAGAATAACGGAATTTTTGCAAAATTCCCTATTGATCTTATTTGAAAGCCACCTCAAGTACTTCGTCTTCATCACTTACCACTTATGGCTGAATGAAAAAGCTGCAGAATTGTCTTGTTAACATGGCAGTTTTGGTGTGTTTATCCTAAAATGCCTATCAAACCCAAAGGCCACATACCGTTTTCCTGAGGCGGCAGAAGTGTTCAAAGCTCTTCAGTACCCATTTCTCAAAGCCACTCAGGGGCAGGTCAGAGCTTTGTGCGCCACGCTGCAAATAGGGAGATTGGGAAGTGCAGTTCAACACATCTGGAGGGCACCAGACTGGGCAAGGCAGACTTGCTGAGTTCATAGCAGGAGAGAGATTCAAGCTGGCTGCTTCCAGGGTTACAGCTCGGTCTCTTGGTCTCTTTGCCACTGTCCTCACTGAGATTAAATCAATGGCACTCAAAAATAACAATTACCAAAGGGTACACATCCACTGGTACTTCAGAAGAAATTCAAAATATCCCATTCTGCTCCAGATAAGATATATTTTAAAGACAATAGCTAGACAAGAGCTTTCCTGCAAACATGCTTCCCATTTATTTCATGTATAAACAGAAGAATCGCTGGGTCCAAACCTCATTGCCATGGCTGCCTTTTTGGAAAGACTCATCCAACTGACATGTGAATGCAGCCACACATTCATTTATGTTTTTCTGCCAGAACTGCACTTTGGTTGACTGCTACTGTATGCAAAAATGATCCCTAGCTCACGAGCATTGTTACTGTTGTATTCTGTTATGTTTTGCACTGGTATCAGTGAAATGGTGCAGGTTTTTGGAGGAGGTGTTTAAAAAAAGATGGGCACAGAACACTGTATGCTTGCATCACTTTATTCTTCTTCAATAGAACTTTAAGCACCCACTGTGGAAGATGCAACCAGCAGAATTTGGATCTATTCACGTAAAACATATAAATAGCTATAGCTGTGCAAAATAATTCTTTCATTAAATACATGAAACAGAAGTGAATGTAGTTTAAAAAAATAGAAAACAAAACAAAACCTGAATAAGTGAGGCTTTTCGAAACATCTTTTAAAGAGAACAATTAGTACAAAAATATTGTTTCAAGAATATTTAGTTATCATCTGCCTCAAGATTGATATTGTTTCCAAACTTTGCATAAAGCTGCACTTTCAGGTCTGATAATACTCTCTGGATGGACTCTACACGTGACTCCAAAGCTCCAATTTCTTCCTGCAAGTTTTGCTGCAAAAGAAAAACAGCTAGTGATGCAAGCAAACTGATTTTGGAAAAACTCATCAAAAGAAACAGTTATTTTACTGGACCAATGATAATAAATGATGGATACAGTATATGAACATTTTAAAAATACAATCTTCCACAGGCTCATGGGTTCCACAGCAATAAAAATAAGTTACATATCCAGACTAATTCAAATGCGGCAAAATCCAGCAGTCTACAATAAAAAAGAGGAAGGCCTGAGCAGAACTACTTGGAAAACAACAAAAGCCCTGCACATTGATCGTTTCTATTTATACAACACTGTCCAACTTTCAAGTTGCATGATGGTCTAAACATGGGCTACATGCACTTTCCAAATAAGAACCTTGAGATATTTGCAGTGGCCCTTTGTTGACTAAGCACTTTGGCTTAGCTCAGAAGTCTCTGGTCAATGCAATTAACATAATATTTTGCTTTTAATCTCCCAAATTAGGTTCTGGTCACTTTTTATCTCCTTTGGCATTAAAGAGCACATCATGTTTTTCCCAAAATGCTTGAGGACTCTGCCTGCCTACCTGCCTAGTAAAAATAGATGCATGAATGTCTAGATTGGAACTCAAAGCATATTAGTTATATAAGGGCCCAGAAGCTTTCCAGTGAAGTGAAGATGATGGGCAACTGCAATGTCCACCAGTGCTTATTACTTCAAAACATCAGACTAAACACTACCAGTCTGCCATCCCCATTAAAATACGTTCTTCAAAACATCAAGGAAGACGGATGATAGAAAGTAGCATCAGCCCCAGTGGAGCCATTGGAGCCCTGGCATCTACCTCACCCTCTTGGGTGCTAACGCTAGGTCTGCCGGATAAGACAATACTAGGTTAAACAAACCAGTTGCCTTACTTGGCCTATGGCAGCTTCTTATATTTCTAGATGACTTGGCATGGTGCCCTATAAACAGGGGTGCTATCCCTGTTTTACACAAACTCTAAAGAGCAGGACATTTCATATGATTTAGTATAACTCAGGTTTTCCCAGCCTATTTGGACCACAGTTGGGAATCTGAGAAACTGCTATGGGAACCAACACATAATGGATAGTGCTTTGATGCATATTTGTATCTATGGCTCTCAGGCTGTCTTGGTAACAACATTTGTTTCACGTATATTGGAATGTCACAACCTACCTTTGATAAAGGATTGCCTAATTTGGCCATTTGCTGGTGATACGGTACAGCTAATGCGTCTTTTAAATGTATTTTTATCAATCTGAAACAGTTGCTTCTTTTGGGAAAAGGTTATACAGATAAATTCTGTACTGGAACAGTCTTCTACATTCACTGATGTACTTGGTCTTTTAGGTAATCTACTTGGTTCATGGAGATCAATAGTGTTAATTGATTCTATATCCCCTTTTGACACCTGAAAGACTGATATTACAACAGTGGAAGTATTAACTTGTCTCCTAAAATACAAGGGCTTAAAGATCTGAGGATGTTTTCAATATTTGAAAGGGTGGCATATAGCTTCAAGTCATTTGGGTATTTGGCCCACTCTTGTGGAAGCATATGTATAATTACTAGGAAGTTGTATGCATTACTATATAAAACCATGTACCTAATTTATAAATTGATTTATACAAAATAAAAATTGTGGCACACATGGTTGCAAATGTAACTAATAATCAGAAAGACAGAGACAGAGAGACACTAACCTTTGCCTCCTCTAACATCTCCTGTGTTTCATCCTGGGGGTGGCTAATGAAGACATCTCCTATTTGATAAGGTATCAGTAGCGAATCATCATCAAGCATCATGATGTCATCACATGCATCTTGTAAGTTCTGGAGTTGTTTCTGTAGTCAAGATATTACTCAGTGAATAAACTAATGTAAATGCAATGTCATACAAGTTTAATAAGGCACTGTACCCTTGGAAGAAGGGGTGAACAGTCTGCTGATCAAATTCGCAGATGATACTGGGGCAGTGGCCACAACTGAGGAGCAGGTACTCCAGATTCCAAAAGGATCTGGACAGACTATGCAAGTGGGCAGGAGACAACAGGATGGCGTTCAATGTGGGTAAGTGCAAGGTCTTGCACTTGGGGCATAGGAATAGCTGTCATAAGTACAGGTTAGGTGAAAAGTGGCTGGGGAGCAGCACTTGTGAAAGGGACCTCGGGGTACTGGTTGACTGCAGGCTAAACATGAGTCAGCAGTGTGATGCGGTGGTCAAGAGGGCAAATGCCACCCTTGGTTGCATAGCCAGAAGTGTCACTTCTAGATTGAGAGAAGGATTACTATCACTTTATATGACTCTGGTACTACCGCAACTGGAGTATTGTGCTCAGTTTTGGGCCCCTCATTACAGAAAGGATATAGCCAGGTTGGAGTCAGTGCAGCGTAGGGCCACAAGGTTGGTGGCCGGTTTGCAGGGGATGCTGTATGAGGCGAGACTGAGGGAACTGGGTCTCTTCAGCCTGGAGGAGAATCAGCGGGGATATGTTGGCAACATACAGGTATGTGAGGGGATGTCACACAGAGGTGGGTAGAGACCTGTTCTCCCCTGCAGAGGAAGGCAGGATGCACTCCAACGGAGCAAAGCTAAGGGAATCAAGGTTCCATTTAGATGCCAGGAAGCACTTCCTGACAGTTAGGACCCCGAGGGTAAGGAATGGGCTTCCACGGGAGGTGGTTGAGGTCCCATTGGTGCGGGTGTTCAAAGATAGGCTAGACATGCACATGGTGTGCATGTTGTGAGTGGAACCGGCTGAAGCCCAGGGTTAGACTAGATGGCTCAGGAGAGTCCTTCTGACTTGCTCTGTTGCTATATTTCTATGTACCTTCACACACAATGTTTTGAGTTCTAAATTAGCTGCAGCCATTTAAGAAAAAAATCCTGAGGTCAATGGGTTTAATGCTCAAATCAAGCATTAACTCCTACACGCCACAGAAAACTCTAGTCCACCCATAACAGTAAGAGGTTCTCTTAACTGCATGGGACATATATCTTGGTAACTGTACTGATATGAGTGCTCAGGGACTTTGTAATCGGGTTACCTTTTTATCCTCTATTTCTTCTTTTAGTTCAGTAATTCTGCTGGTGTTTCTGGCAAACTTGTTGATTTTCTGTTGATCTTCAAAAGTGACATTGACGTCTTCTGCTGCCTGCATAAGACCAACAGAAACAGAAAGAGCTCAATACACAAATGCATGAGACAATTATCTGCCTTTTCCATTGCATGAGGATACGTAAAGCTTATTTCAAAGTTCAGCTTCCCAACACTGCCTGCCTTATTTCCCAAAAGATTCTAAACCAGGTAGTTACCATAAACCCAAAAGAGACAAGATAATGATGGAAAGGGAAGAACTATGTTTCCAAGGAGCATGGACCCTCCTCAGGATACTTGTACCCAAGAGTAACCACAGAAAACACCCGAATTCAGAAAGGAATTGTGAGTCTTTAAAAAAAAAAAAGGAAAATGGTGGCAGAACACGTATTTTTCTCCTTCAGGATCCACTTGGCATGTTGTATAGTATGCCTTGTAAATATGAAGACGTATAGGTAGCAGCCTTCAATGGGGAAAAAATTGGGCAGCACTGTAATACATAGTCATTAGTATTGCTGTTTGGTCTTTCCTAGCAAGGTGCTATTTGTTCAATACTGTCATTGCAATACGTTCCAAAGCCCCATTGCTTCATGATTCTAGAAATCATTAAATGTTTAAAGTACTACTGGCCTACTCAACACTAGGGTGAAGAATCTTAAGTTTAAACCAGCCTTGTATGTTATCTCTGGGTGATGAACATATTGCACTTATACACTGCTCCTTTTAATTTATCTGTTATTGTTTATTACAACAAGGATACTGAACCACATCATTAGAAAATAAAAGGATAAACTAGAATGTTACACAATTTTGGATAAGTTTTTTCTAATGGTTAACCCAAGTTACATATATTAATAACACACATATTACTGATGTTAATGCTATGCTTAACACTAGTTGCATATATATTATCTAGCCCTATGTGTTAGTATGTAACACAGCATACCATCATTATTGAAGACAATTATGCATTAGCTTCAAAAATGGTTAAAAGCGATACAGCAAAGAATAACCCTGTAAAGGAAAAACCTGGGATGGGTTGTCCCCTCAAACCCATCATGAAATGCCCCAGGATAAAGGGCCATCTTGGTGCCAAAAAGATGGCAGTGACACTAGGCAGACCAGTGAGATCATTCCACAGATTGGAGGCTACCACAGAGAAGCCCCCGCTCCTCTTGTTGCCACCCTCCAAGCTTCCCTTAGAGTTGGCTCTCCGAGGAAGACCTCTGATGTTGACTATAGCATCTATGGAGATTGCAGATGGGAGGGATGCTCTGTCAAGTATTATTGTCCCAAGTCTTTATAGGTTAACACCAGCACCTTGAATTGGGCCCACAAGCATACAGCCAGCCAATGCAAGAGGGACAGAACCAGTCTTATACATTCAAGTCCCATTATTAATCCAGCTGCCAGATTCTGCACAAGCTGCAGTTTCTGAGCAGCCTTCAAGGAGAGCAGCACACAGAGTACAATGCAGTAATCTAATTTAGAGATTATCAGAGTGTAGGCTACAGAAACCAGGCTATCCTTGTCTAGATTGGGGAGTAGCTAGGCCACCAACCAAACCTGGAAGAACCTGGCCACTGAGGCCACCTGAAGTGTAAGTGACAAAGATGGATCAAGGAGAAACTGCCAAGTACAAACCTGCTCCTTCAGGAGGGATGAAACTTCATCTAGAACAGGTTGAAAACCCTTCATCCACTCAGAGGACCCACCCACAACAGCATTTCAGTCTTGTTTAGATTGAGTTTTAATTTGTTATGGCCAGGCACAGGTTTAGCATAACCACAGCTTTACCTGCTGAAGATGAAAAGGAGAAATTGTAGTGCATGCATTTAGCAGACCAAGAGCAATGCACTCCAAAACTCCAGATGACACCACCCAGCAGTTTCACATTGGTGTTAAATAGCATGGGGGACAGAGCAGACCCACAAGGAACTTCACACTGAACTATTCACAGGGTTGAGCAATATTCTCCAGTACCATCTTCTGAAGACAGCCCTTCAAGTAGGAGCAGAACCACTGCAGCACAGTAAAGCCCACTCCCAACTCAAAAAGTAACTCCACGGCAGACAGAAATGAAAGTCATTGAGCAGTCCAGAAGTATCAAGAGGGTCACATTTCCATATGTCATGATCTAGGCTGCTCTGGCGGCCAGAAACGAAACAACTACCACCATATTTTCAGGGTCAGTCCCAGGCCCTATTGGAGCTCTCAGTCTACTGTTGAGCACCAGCTGGGAGTTCTGCAAGAAGAGCTATATAAAAGCAAGCTCTTCCCTCCAGAACTGGCCTCAGCGATACAGGTCTGTTTGTAGCTGTTGTGCCTGCCTCTTGCCTATCCTGTATCCTGCCTTGTCCTGTTGCCTCAGAAATTCAGGTTTGCTAGCTAGGTGTGGTTCAGCTCCTGCATCTTGCCTGACTCTTATTGCTTTTGGTTGCTGTTGTCTCCTTCACCTCGCCATGTACCCTGTCATACCATGTAACTTGTCTTGCTGTATATCCTGCCTCAAGTGTCTACATCTTGCCTGATGCTTGCTGTCTCCTGCTCACTGTCTCTCTCCAGCCCTGTTATCCTGTCCAAGGTACCTGCACCTCTACTTGTCCTCCTGGTTCTTAACCCTTGGCTTGTTCCTAACCATGCCCTTGTTCTGTCCCAATCCATAATTTGCTTTCAGCCTGTACCACAAGTCCAAGCATTCCCAAGCTCAACCTGTTTGGAGGGCACCAGACTAGATAGGCTGTTTTAAAAGGCAAAAAGCCTGTGTTTCCAAGTAGGGCGTTCTCTTCCATGGTCAGCCAAAAGAGTTCCCTTTTCTTGGCAGACTAGTTAAAAATAAAAAGCTCAGGCTAGTAACTTGGGTGGGCTTACAATACTAGCCTAAAGCATTTTTATTACTTACCATTATTTCTACTACTTGTTTTCAGATCACCTTAGTATCTTCTCCAAAATCAAAAAGGGAATGTGTTCACCAAGCATCAAAAAGCAAAGCAAATGCCAATAAGCATTTCCCTACTAGGAAATCTACCTCACAAGGTTACAGTGAAGATATAAGTGGGATGGAGAGACAGAAGGCCCTATACAAGCTTCTAGCAACAAAGATTGAGATGTAAATATCTTTAATTAGTACCACCCTGCCCCACTTATGGTGCCAGGAAGTAATTTATGGTTATGCTGCTGCTGTACTCTCTTGTAGACCTTCACCTTAGAAGCATAAAATGGGAGAGGAAATTCACAGATCCTCTCTTGGGTCCTTGGTAAAAAAAAAAAACCCTAAAATAAAAATGTAACAAATAAATACACTTCCAATAAGTTTCAAAAAAGGGCTTCATCATCCTTAGCCTACTCCCGTTTTTGAGTGTTTTAAGGCTGCAGCAGCACCGGAAGGAATCTTCCGACATTTCTGGAAAAAGATAACTCTCCTTTTCCAGGGACCTTATTTTCAAAAAGCTCTGGACTCAACACACGTGTGTGAGGGAGTGCACACGTGCTCTTAGTCACCTGGGAATACTCTCATTTTTAGGGGATGCTTGTCCCTTCCCCGTTTCATGTTTCCTGGACCACAGTTCCTACACCCCAACGCCGACCCCAGCAAGAGTGATGGGAATTGTAGTCCTGGGAATCTGGAGGGCGCTAGGCAGGGAAAGACCGCACTGGCGTCAGGAGCTACTCCGAAGAGCTACCCCTCCGAGCAAAGACCAGCCCCGAGACTGTTTCGCTTCCACGCCCCAGACCACGAAAGGGAGAAGAGGAGGGGAGCAAGCAAGGCCGGTGGCTCTCCAGCCCGGCTCCACTCCCTCCCTCGAGTCCACCGGCCACGGGAGCCAAGAGAATAAGGCGACCCGCCTCAGCAACAAGCAGCCCAACTTCCCCGCCCCGCTTCAGCCTGCTCACCGCTTTCTTCATGGTGGCCGCCATCTTGGGGACTGAACTATCGCGCCGCTTCGGCAGGGGGCTCCTGATTTACTATGGGCGTTCAGGATGAACGAAGAGGCCGCGCGTTCTTTTTTGCGGCAGAAAGCGAGTTCACGACCGTTCCGCCACCGCTCTCCCTTCTTTTCTCCCCCTCAGCCGACGTTGGTATACTCCTAAGTTAAAGGAGAGACAGAGTATCGTGTCGGCCGACAGAAAAAGAAGAGAAACCCTGCGTATTTTGCAGGTTGCAATGCCGACGGGATCCGGCGGGTGGCATAGCGAATCTGATAATAAGTTAGGCGCTGGCAAAGAAGCGAGGAAGCAGTCGCGGCAGGATGACTCAATAATAGCACATATACATGCATGTGATATTAAAGCATATAGACTTGCAGTAATAATATGTGCATTTCCATAATAGTTGACTGGGGATTGCGGAAGTTGTAGTCGAACACATCTGGAGGGCACCTGGGTGCAGAAGACTGCAACGAACTAAAAGTTAACCCTTTCTCTAAGTGTGCTTGCTAATGTAGCTAAAGGGGCACTGTTCATGGATGCGGGAGATGTATCAGCCGACTTCAGGGTCATCCCTAAGGTTGGCAGAACTAAGAAGGCTTTAGAGTGCTTCCAAGCAAGGCTTTTGGTGTGCCATTATTTTATCGAAGAAGAGCAATGCTCAACCGTACAGAGGGCAATCTAATTCATATTCTGTTCACACGAACGCCTGTAGAAAACTCACAATTAGGATACAAGTGCTTTAGCACCCTCGTACCCATGTTCCCCTAGACATACCACCTCTGATACTGAGATGGCATCTAGCCATCAGGATAATAGCCGTGGGCCATTGTGGGAGGGTGAAACATGTCACCTAATCCACTTTCTTCATGCCATGAGTAATAGTGTATATCTCTCTTCTCCCCTTGCTTGCCTAAGCTGAAGTGTCCCCAAGCGCTGCCACCCTTCCCCATAGGGAAGATAGGACAGCTCCTCGATCATTTTAATTGTCCTTTTCTGCACTCTCTCAGCTCTACAACATCCTTTTTAGATGCAGTGACCAGAGTTGTAGGCAGCATTCCAAGTATTGTTGAAGCACAGCTACCTATAATATGAGTGTGAACTTGGCAGTTTCAGTTTTGACTCATTTCCTTGGTATGCCATCATGGCATCTGCTTTTTTCCCTCCACAGCAGCCACATTTCCTTCAACTTGTCAGCCACAACCCCAAGATCTCTTTCTAGGTCAGTTGCTGCTAGGTCAGATCCCATCAACTTATACCCAAGCTTGGGAATTTTTGCACCAACCTGCATCACTTTATATTTGCTAACATTGAACTGCATTTGCCATTTGATGCCCATTCTCACAGTTTGCCAAGATCAGACCTGAGCAAATGTCTGAGTGCACACTTCAGACATATAACACTGACATTTAGGAGGTGTCTGACACTGAACACCGAGCATTCCAAAGCTCAGCACCTTAAGAGCTTAAGGGGATTGATTAATTAATTAAATTTGTAGACCATGCCTATAGCCCTGTTAGGGCTCCGTGGGCAGGTATATTTATATGTTGACTTTTTCCCTTTTACAGAACTCAAAACACCTTAAATAATTTTCTTCCTCCTCTCAATCTTATCTCCGCAACAAGAACCCTGTGAGGTTGGTCAGGCTGAGAGTCTGTGACTAGCTCAACTTCAGTGAACTCCATGGGCTCCCCTGTTCTGATTCAACTATCAGATCTGGGTTTTAGAATCACAGACAACTTCTGCACTTTCCCAAACCAAAATGAATCTTACCTTGTAGTGGAGTTAAGATTCAGCAGAAGAAAAGAATGAAACCTTCAATTCATTGTCAACATAGTAGGATTGTGGGGTACCTGGCAACAATTGGCAGCTCTTCACAATATCTTTTCATTTCAACCACCCTAAATAATAAGGTGTCATCAGCAAACTTGACCACCTCACCACTCACTCCTAATTCCAGAAGAATCTGTGGAAAAACATTGGTCCCAATATAAGTCTTGCAGAACTCCACTGGTTGCGTCCCTCCATTGGGAGAAGCTATAATTTACCAGTTAGTCTGACATCAATTTCTGGAAAAATTCTGGAGCAAATGATTTTTTAAAAATCAGTCTGCAAGCATGTTGAAGAAAATGTAGTGATTAAAGAAGCCAGCATGGATTTTTCAAAAATAAATCCTGTCAGACAAATTTCGGATCTCATTTTTTGACTGGGCAACCTCCCTAACAGTCAGAGGGAACACTGTGGACATAATCTACCTCAGCTTTAGCAAAGCTTTTGGCACTGTGCCCCAGAACATCTTGATAAGTGAATTAGCAAAAGGTGGACTAGATAGAAAAACTATTAGATGGATCCAAAATTGGCTGCTTAATCAGACACAAAGAGTGCTCATCAATGGCACCATCTCAAACTGGAAGGAGGTAACTACTTGGATGCCACAGGGTTCGAGCCTGGGCTCAGTGCTATTCCTCATCTTTATTAATGATTCACATGAGGAAGTACAAGGAAAGATAATCAGATTTGCAGAAGATACAAAACTGGGTGGAATAGTGAACACCTTAGACAACATAATGAATCTTGATGAACTTGAGCACTAGGCTAAAAGCAACAGAATGAGATTCAACAGGGACAAGTGCCAAATCCTCCACCTAGGAAAATAAAACCAAATGAATCAATACAAGATGGGGGATACGTGGCTCAACAGAACTGAAAAAGAAAAAGACTTTGCAGTTATTGTGGACAATAGGCTAAATAATTGAAGCAATAAACATTGAGGCAACAATGTGATGCAGCCGCCAAAGGGCACATGCTATTTTGGGATGCATTAACAGAAGTATTACTTCCAAATCACAAAAAGTAGTAGTTCCTCTATTCTCCTCACTAGTCAGACCTAATCTGGAATACTGTCTCCAGTTCTTGGCACCAAGATTTCAGAAAGATGCAGAAAAAATAGAAAGGGTCCAGATGAGGGCAACAAAAATGATCCAGGGTTTGCAAACACTGCCCTATCAGGAAAGACTGAGAACTGGGCATGTTTAGTGAGAATAGAAGACGAGTGGGGACATGATATCCCTTTAAAAGTACCTCAAAGGCTGTCACAGACAGGAAGGGCAAGATCTCTTCTTGCTGATACCAGAGTGTAGGGCACGAAATAATCAATTAAAGTTGCGACAACCCAGATTCAGACTAGACATCAGGAAAAGCTTCCTCACTGTCAGAGCAATACGAGAGTGGAACCAGCTGCCTGGAGAGGTGGTGGGCTCTCCCACAGTAGGGACATTCAAAAAGAAGCTGGACAGCCATCTGAGTGGGATGGTGTAATGTGGTGTCCTGCAACAGCAGGAGGCTGAACTCAATAGCCTTCATGGCCCGTTCCAACTCTACTGATTCCTATTTTTTCCTTTTCTTCTTTAGCCGGTTATTACTCCATAAAGGGACCTCTCCTTTTATCCCATGACTCAGAAGTATTTGCTGAGGGACTTTGCTATAAGTCTTTTGGAAGTCCAAGTAAACAATATTTATTTATTTATTTATTTATTAAAACATTTTTATGCCGCCCCATTCGCCGAAGCCTCGGGGCGGCTTACAACAATATCTATCAGATTGCCTCTTCCCACATACTAATTGACACAGGTACCTCTAAAAGGTTGTTGAGACACGAATTACCTTTGCAGAAGCAAGGCTAACACATTTTCAGCAGAGCTTGCCTTATATGTTTATTAACTTTATCTTTAATAAAGCTTTCAATCAATCATCCCTGAATAAACATTAAAATAAACCACCCTGTAATTTCCCAGATCCACCCTTTGATAAAGGATCAGCAATTTATGCTCTTTAAAAATTCTAAGATGGATACTATTTAGGCCTGCTGATTTATTAAGTTTTCAATTTGTCAATAAGGTTGGGAACATCACATTTGGCACCATTATTTGCCTCATTTGCTCCCACTCGCTTCCTAAAGCATCCATTCAGGCATGAGAATCTGTCCTATGTCTCCGGCACAGAAGACACACAAAAACAATCCATTCAGTGCATGTGAAATCTTGTCCTCCTTCAGTTCTCCTTCAACTGTATTGTCCAATCATCCAATTGCCTCCTTCTCTGCTTCCCTGCTTCTGATACATTTAAATATGTTTTATTGTTGGCCCTGATTTTGTTAGCAATATGGTATTTCTATTTTGTTATTGCGTGGGTTTTTTGTTTTGGTTTGGGTTTGTTTGCTGTTTTTTGCATCTCTGTGTTTCTCCTTTGCACAGGCTGCTGTTCCTTTTTGTTCTCATTTGGGCAAATCTTACATTTCCTGAGGGAAGCCTTCTTACCTCTAGTAACTTTCATCACAGTGCTTGTTCACCATGCTGGCAGATCTCTTGGTCTTGGTGCCTACTTTTCCCAACCATTGTATATATTCTAGCTGAGCATGGACCATTTGGGGTTCTGAGTGACCTCTAGGCATCCGAAGAAATTTAACCAACTCGATCCCTCCTTTCCATTTCTTTTTTTACTAGTTCCTGCATTTTAAAGGCTTCTTTTCTGAGGTCAAATGTAACATGGTTATACTTCCTTGACAGAGTTCCATTTAAATTTTAAAAGAAACCTGAGAGCATTGTGGTCGCTGTTTTCAACAGGTTTGGCAACACTCACATCTGACACTAGATCCTGGCTGAGGCCATTTAGTATTAAATCCAGGGTCACCTAGTCATTTCCACGACCAATTGTTCTAAAGCATAGTTGTTTAAGAATCAAGAAATTTAACTTCTTTGTCATTTCCAGAACATGCACTTATCCAGTCACTGCTGATAAATGCTAATGGAAATCACCTATTATTACAACTCTTCCTTATTACTCCATCTCAAGAGAATCCTGAGAGAGTTGATTCTCCATCCACTATTCCCTGCCGGTTACCCCGCAGAGCTCCTGGACTACATCTCCCATAATCCCTTGCCAGCATGGCTGCATCAAGGTGATGGTATTAGTTTTGATGGTGATAGCTTGCAGATTGCATGCCCCTTCTTCCCTTTTGCAACTCTTAGAAAGATATGAGGGGATCTCCAAGTTTGCCTCCCACTTTAATTTAGTGGTTTGTCCAAAGCACCACTTTTAGTACAACAAGGGTATAATGGTGCTGCTACGGCTGTGCATTTGTGTGCATTTTCCTTCTTCGTGTGTCAGGCGCTCC